ACGCACCTAGTCCGGAGTCCATTGTATGCATCATCGTTTCCAGAGTAGGACCGTGGACGTGGTAAATTCCAAGACGCTTCGCCGGCATCGTAGTCGACATCGTCAGTGAGTATCGCCATTCTTAGCACCACACAACAACTCGTCAAAGAGACAAAGTTCATGTATAACTTTGCCAAAAGTGGTGAGAGCGGCGATTCCATGGGAAGTCCAACTATTTGTTCATAGATGCTTCCGTTGAATGCAAAATAGGTTGTCCTTATTGTCAAGTTGATTAGCCTTGTTGATGATTCCCTCCTGATCCGTTGTGATTCCAGGATATCCTTCTCTCGGTCCATGATTTCGATCAGGGCCGTTACCGCATTTTCTCCAGAGATATTTCTATACATCGATTCTACATCGAAACTTACCAATAAGTCCGATTCTTTCAAAGCAATGCTTTTGATTTTTTTTAGAAAATTCATATGAATTTTTCACCGTGTTTGATAGTCTCTCATTTAATTTCTTGATTTTCAAACATATAAACTTTGCCAATTTGTGTGTTGCTCCATACTTGTTGTTGACTATCAGCCTTAGTGGCTCGCCTTCTTTTTGTATCTTCAGTAATCCATAGGCTTTTGGTGGTCGTGCATCCTCTTTTTACAATTGAATTTCTTGTCCATGCGTCATTTTCCCCGTTCCTATGTATGTCATTCAGCATTTCACTTAAGATTCCATTTATCTTGATAAATAGTGCCTGGAGTAAAACGAACACTGGGACTGGAACCACGTAGAATCGGTCAGCCAGAAACATAAGGAACGGATCTGCGAGAACATGAGCGGATCCGGATTGGAGGCCTGAGTCGGATTAGGCGATCGAAAGAGAGGGGGCCAGGTGTGATGAGGCCACGCTAGATTTGCCACAAAGGGGCACACATTTTAACGAGTGGAATGTAAACAAGTGAGAAGTTATGATAGGGCGTGAGTGGGATAAGAGGGTAAAGGGTAGATAGATAGGCCAGGACAGAAAGAGGAGTGATAGTGTTACCGTTTTCGGCGGAACTTTGGTCAAGAGATTGACTTCAATTGTCCCTTTGACAAGTTTTTAGTTTGCTGCGGAGAATGGTAAGGTTCATTGATGATGTCGGCGAAACGTCTGAGAATGTACAAGTCCACGATCAGATAACTACTGTAGCAAAGGACTTTGGACAAGGTGCGTTCGAATAAGTCGCCCTGACAGCAATAAAAAGTTGCGAAAACGACGTCAATCCACTTCATTTATCCTTGTTTCCTATACGGCAATTTCATCAATGATGGACTGCTGTACCACTGTTTTAACCTCGTCTCTGTGTTATCAACACCTCCAGTGGGAGTCAAAACCGGATTGTGAGCATTGGGGCGATATGCTAGTACGCAGCCATGATTTCCAGAAGATATGATTTTCAAGGCGAGCCAGGCCACCCCATAATCATATTAATAATGGTGCGGTGTAGTATTCAAAAATTATTTCGATTATTGAATTAAAAATTAGTGCATTTATTGATATTTTACAATTTCCTATCTGAACCCATTAATTTGTCTTTATAATTCGACATCGTTTGGCTTATTCGAACCGTTTTATGTGATTTTATGTCTGTGTGACAGGGGCTTTTGACCGATACACAGTGACCTCTCAAGCGCTTCAAATGTCCTCGCCTGTTGCTGGGGTCAAGGCGAGTCCCGTTGGCCGGTCCGGGGCTATTGCTGGTGGCAGCGGTGGTGTCTCTCGATTCTCTGGTCCGATGACACGGATTCCAGAATTTCAGACGACGGCGTTGACCTCCGGCTACCTCGAATACCCGACAGAAGGATCCACAACCACGCCCACAGCAAGGGGTGGAGGTTCTTTTGGCGGAGGAGATGACTTTTTTCGAGGTGGTTACGGCCAACCGATAGAACAGCGTATCGGCTCTGGCACCTTCGAGGGGACTAGCGAGTTTGGTGGGCATGGTGATGAACCTTGGCCACCGACAGTAGGCTCGGGAGGAAGAAGAGTGCGTGGTCAGCCCCGAGGGAGTCGACAGCACCATTGGCACCAGTCACAGCAGCACCTTGTGGCGCGATATCGGTGAGTAGGCGAGTAGTATTACGAAAATGCACCATCATTCGCGTTGTCAAGGGTGAAAACGAATTAATTTTCTGGTATCTACAAGAAGGCCACTGAGGCATTCTAGTCAACTGATCTAACAGACTGATCCTAGTGTTTTATGTGTTCCTCATTCTGACCAAACGGCTGGTTCCGGAACACCGAAGAACTTTCATTATGCAATCTTTTCATTTCATTTACAGCCAATAATTTAATGTGGGTCTAGCGGTCCTACTCTATTTTACTGCTTGACCAAATGCAGGGTTAATAAAATCGCGTGGTGTAGTCAAATAAGATGTATCCGTTTTGCCGGTCTTAAACCAATCCAAATACGATCATGAATGGCTCTTCAACTTATTGTCTCAGAAACGTC